GGCTACATTGGAGATGCGTGAAAAACAATGGTAAGAAGGTGAGCAAAGTGATGAAATACAACAACAACAAATCCAAACAGAAGCTGTTTATGGCCGAAGACAAAGAAGGATTCATGCAGAAATTCAAGAGGTATCATCAGAATTATGATAAAGATAGATAGTATTCTGATAAATAACCCTTGACGGCAGCTCCTTTGAAGTTTGAAGTGAAATAAGAAAGGTGGTATACGGAAGAAGACATTATTACCTGAACTGACAGGAGACAATTGATTTCGCAGTGTAGTTTGTATGTAGTTGCTGGTACAACCTATAAGCTCCCGAAACACACGAGACGGTGGCTCTAGCATATCGAACGAAGTGCAAAGTTGCCTGTTACAAAAAAGATGAAACACTAGAAGTAAACATTATTCTAACATCTCATATTGTAATACCTCGGAATTACTTAGAAGAAAACGTCTAGAAACAGCCATAAACGGTTGAGTGTCTTAACGATAAAGATAAGGCGGATAGCCATATTATTTTGAAAAACGTATGCGCATGTTCTTCTTGTCGGTCCCCCAAGAAAAGAACGAATTCCTCGCTTAGGCGATCGGACACTGTTGGAGACAGTTCTGTTGTAAGTGGAAAGATGCAACAGTGCAACGTACTTCTAAGCGGGCGGGGGAGGGGAACTTTCTGCAGACGGCGCCTGTGGCTGTAGGTCTATGCTTATTCATCTACACTGATCAATCCTTGATCTCAGCTACGCACAAGCGCCCAACCATCGGCAGGTTTTGGGTTTTAAAAAACTAGTACGTCTCCCTGCAAATCAAGGGCACTAAGCTTCGAGCGTACTTAGCACGTCGCTAACGGCTCTCAACAAAATAATTGATTGATGGCACACACACACACTAGTCAACTTTCTGTCATAAGCAGGAGAATGTTGCTACAAGCAACCTTACTCAGTAACCTGTTTCGCTTCATACAGCGCAGAGATGCTGACAACTGCCGAGACTTGCGCCTGTAGTAATCCAGGAACTTGGACCCCACGTCTTAACTCGCCAATATTTCTTCTGAATTCTGTGAAAAAAGTTGGCGCAACCTTGAAACGCTAAACGATGATAAAAGGTTAACTCGCTCGTAAGGCGATCTGTATTGATGAGATCAGTTAGCAGATTTCTCATAAGGTAGTTTAAGTGGTGCACCTCATATACCCCTAGTCCCAGCATGTTGTCCTACGGAAACGCTGGCTATAGGGATTTTATGCGTGGGGCATTTGGATGGGCAATGGAATATACTTTAATAACTGCTATGTGCATTTTTAGTGTATTGTATTCAGAAATGTTTTTTATTTATGTCTGCAGATTTTCCTAATCTGTATTACCGTTCAACGTATTACGTAAAAACCCGATTATCAGAATGCAGGCTTCTTGAAATTCGTTAAAAATTAGAATTGGTGGTTAGAGGGTCGTCCACTTGAACTTACCTGAGGTCCAAATTACCGTTCTGGAGTTTGATTAGTATAGTTCGCGACGCGAAGCGCGGCACACACCTTCAATTTACATGCGGAGCAACCTACTCCCAGCGACCGCGGGAAACAAATTCAACTATATTTTTCCACTTTCCACTTCTCAAATTTCCTGCACGGCCTATCTTATTTCCTCACCCCTAAACCCCCTATAACTACCGTTTCCGTAAGAAAAATTCTGGGATTAGGGGCATATGAGGTGCAATACTTAAACTACCTTTACCCTAATGAGAACTCTGTTAAGTCAGCTCATCTATACGGATCGCCTTACGGGCGAGTTAACCTCCTATCATCCTTTAAAACATTAATGTTTTAAGGTTGCAACAACCTTCCATCAAAGGATTCAGAAGAACAATTGGCCAGTTGGGACATGGGGTCCAAGGTCCTGGATTAGCGTCTGCTAGCAATGGCAGAAGCCACCGCTATCATGTTAAGGAAGCCGGTCTTGTGTGCACAAAAGAACATCCTGCAAGTTCAGCACCTGTCATGACCAACGGTCGCTTAACCGCATGTACTCATCCGCGCTCTCGCACTCCTCCCCCCTCCCCGCAGCCCCAGGCCAGTTCTGCCAAACCCTCCGCGCCACCTAACTAGTTTTCCCTTATCGACTCCCACGCCTCCCCCCTATTCCCATGACTCA